ATTTGCGTGAAGAACTGGAGATGGTAAAAACAACAAAAAAAAAATCTAGAACAAACACATGCAAATCCTCACCTGCATTTCTTTATGTAAAATACCTATCAAACTGATGGCAACCTATTCTGTAGCATGACATCACTTGGCCCTATGAAATAACCACTGACAGGTCTATTCATGGTATCCATAATTAGCTACTTACCTCTTAAGTTTCAATGATTTCAAGCAGCAGACTGATGTAAAGGCTTTAAATCAGTTTCTAGAGATGCCTTTCAAACCAAGCAGACTAATGCCTAACATGGGCATCAACACTACATACGAATGTCAAGCTTTCTCCTGTAGCTTAACCTTGGTCTTAAAATCATGGAAATGCATTGAGAAAACTCATCTCTGTCCTGTTTGGAAACAGACAGCTGTGCATCTCCAGGGATGCTGAGGAAGATGAAAGCTCCTCTTGCTATAGGTTTACTACTCTTAAATTACCTCATTTATCTTTTTTCTATAGCTTTGTCCCAGTAGACAGAAACCATTAATGGTCCCTTGTAGAGCACTATAGAGGGAACCCATTCAAGAATTAATACAGCTTTAATGTACACTGTTCCTGGGTCTGACAGCAAAACTGCCAGAGAGTGTGCAGGAAAGGGGCACAGTGCCACAGAGGGCTTCTGCTACATGTACAACCGAACATTCTGTGAATGGTTTGTAACACAAAACAGGAGAGATGTAAATGGAGTAAGCTATTTTATATAGTTTTCTGAAATTGTAGTGTCAGTCCCTAATTCTGAGGGGACAATATAGTTCCCAGTCCCAAATTCCTAAGGGAAATCCTGAGGTGGATGTTAAAATCAGACCACTTGCTTAAAAAACAGCTTGATTTCAGTGTGTACTAGTGTTTCACAGATCCTTCTTCCCTTGGATCAGTCTTGTCTGAAATTTGTTTAACAGTACTCTAACATTCAAAAGAAAAAATAAAAATCAACAGTGTGTTTTTTGATTTAAAATATAGTCCTTTCAGACACAGGGACACCCCCCCCCCCCCCCCCCCCCGCCATCCCCCAGTCTTGTACTTAAATGCTTTTTGCAAACTAGGCAGTATTTTTTAATTTTGATTTTATAATTGCAGTTAATACTCCAAATCTTCAAACAGTCACCATAACTCAGTTATTCTTTCAAGTCAGACATAGTCTGGAGCTTACAATTACATTTTTATGTGTGAATGAGAAAATGACCAGGTATTTATATGCATTTTAGTCAACAATTTTCTTCACTGTTATATTTTTCGTATGATAATTTGAGAACTAGCAGTCTGACTGACAAACTTAAATGCCATTTATTCCAGTGAAATCAAGACTGAAATGAGCAGAATCAGAGTAGCAAAAGGCTAAACATGCACTAAATCCTCTAACGTATCGTGCTGTGTCTCTGGGGGTATGCCGATATCTACACTGAGCTGGTGTCACTTGGGCAAATCCTGGTCCAGCATCACGAAGCAGGGCACCTGAGTATGACACAGCTTCCATCATGAGCATGCATTTAGGTTCCCCTTGAACAGAAACTGGAGAGGAGAGAAAGGAGCTGGCTCTTAACCTAGATCTCACCCAGATACTGGATGTTATCAGCATATATGCTTAACAGAGCTGCTGGATCTGTCATTTTAGTCATAACAAATTACTCTAAATACCTGAGAAGCCATTCTAATTTGCTGTGAATTACTAAGAGAGAAGCATGAGAGTATTTTCCAGGTTGCTCCAAGCCCCGTCCAGCCTGGCCCTGAACACTTCCAGGGTTGGGGCAGCCACAGCTTCTCTGGGCAACCTGTGTCAGTGTTGCACTACTCTCATAGTGAAGGATTTCTCTCTTCTATCTAATCTAAATCTACCCTCTTTCAGTTCAAAGCCATTTTCCCCTTGTCCTGTCCCTACATGCCCTTGTAATTCTTCTTGGCCCCCTTTAGGTCCTAGAAGACTGCTCTAAGGTCTCTCTAGGGCTTTCTCTTCTCCAGGCTGAACAACCGCAACTCTCTAAGCTTGTCTTCATAGGAGAGGTGCTCCAGCCCTCTGAACATCTTCATGTAGATCTCTTTGCAAGGGAAGAGAAAGCTTGAGTTTTCAGATACTGGTGGTTTGGGAGATCTGGGACAAATGAGGAAGATTTTGAGAGCCAGAGAAAAGGGAACTGATTACAGGTTAAGAGTCTCTGTGCTTTGTTCTGTATCTTTCTGAAACAGCGCATTTTTATTTCCCCTGTATGGATGGGCAAAGCAGGCAGCCTGCCAGCTCCCAGTAACATTCTGCTTATTTTGCCTGTTGCCTTGAAAATGAGTTTGTGTTATACAGGAGTGTGTACTTGATTTATATCCAGTTAATAGAACACTTTTCAAGGTGCAGCCTTTGATCCTGAAAGTAACTTTTGTTCACATGAGCAGCGTCATTAAATACAAATCCCATTAAATGCAAATACAAGGCTCATCAGCAGTTACAACAATACTTAGGAAATCTAATATGCTTAAACACAGTTGCAAATCATGAGTTAGCTGATAAAATGCTGCCTTAAGATGGGGTGAGCAGTGCAGATAGGGGGAAGCACTGTATGTGGTGACCTGACCCTTCACATGAAACACAGTGATATTTCTGAAAGTAGTCAATGTCATTATGTTCTCCAACCCAGTTACAGCACAGATCCAGCTTGCTGTATGAGTCCTTCGTTTTGCACTCGAGCTATACAGAAACCTTGTTTGTGCCCTTGAACAAGCAGTATTAGATTAGTACATGTTTTGAGTGTGAGCACAGCGCATGCCATAGTACCAGTGTCTGGACAGAACTGTTTAAAATCATTTGAAGTGCTGAGGAAAGCAACCAGAAATGCTCTTACCAGAATGGTCAGCTACAGGGAGCAGTTTTGGGCTGGCCCTAATAGGTATGCATATGCAGGCATATTTGTTTGCGTAGGCCAGAGGGGAGAAGCACATTGCAAAATATCTTAAGAACAAGAAATGACACTGAGCTGAAGTAGATTTTTAAAGCTGTTGAGAATGAACAATATGCTTTTTTACTAAACCAGTTGCACATAGCGATCAATGTACACCACTAAAAGAAAAAGACTAATCCTGCTGTAAGTTCACCTCAAGTATTTCATGAATTTCACATGATCCACCCACTTTTTTCTGTACCTCTGCAATTACCATATCAGCAGCAATAATTCTCTGTTGTTCAAGTGCCAGATACAACATGGCTTTCACATTCCTGAACGTGGCATATTGTGCTGCTCTGTTTGTTTGTTGTTTCAGAACAAGATTAAATTTTATTCACTTGCGCACCGCACTGAACTTTAACCCACTCTTCGTCATCTTCCTAATCAGTGATTTGTCTTGCTCTTTGGTTCTCAGGTTTTTATATTTACTTTAAATTATGCATGAAATCCATGTTATTCAAACGCCTTTTTGAACCATTCCTATTTTTCCTCTCGTATCTTATTTGGAACTATCAATCATATATATAAAGTGTAGGAGCATCTGATGTTTTTTTCTCTCCGTTCTACTAACTGGAAAACATGAAGTAGCTCCTTTCCAACTGTAGCATGAGCATTTTCATGCAGTATTTCAATTGACAAATAGTCCATCCATTCAGCAATACAAATGCTTCATGAACACTTTCAAGATTTTGCTTACATGGGAAAGTTGGTTTGGCTCAATAAAGCTGTAACTTTTCTCTGTGTGTATACTCATAAGACAAGAGCTGATTATTCCAAATTAACTTATGTTGAATCCATTTTACTTGAGAAGTTAATTTACAGTAGCTAAACAGAAAGAATTCCCCTTGTAGATGAGACTTCAAGGATTTGTAACTACAGAAGGTGCTCATCTTCTCACAAAGTGGAATATTTGGCAAATATGAGAGAAAACCCCTTATCAACATTTGCTTATACAGTGTACAGCAAGTAGTCACAGATCAGGCTCCCAGTGTGCTGTGCTTTGTTTAAACACTAATTATATTTTAAAAATTGGCTTTCAGGAAGTTTTCATTTGGAACAGAATTTTCTTTTACTCATATGAACAAGGTGATCAATCACTACTTGTTAGCATGTGCTGTTCATGCATTTACCAGGTTGTTCAGAGCTTTAGCATACACATCTTGTTTCTCTAATGCAAAAAAGCACCACTAGTATACTTTTATCATATTTATATAAGCAACAATAAGATACAGAATATTATGCAAATAAACATCTTTGGCTATTTCCTCATGATAAATAATTTAGCTGAGGGATACAAATGACAAGTTGAGGGTGTTCTCTGCCCCAGTATCAACAGTCTAAAAATTAAATGACAGAGTTTTTGCTTGTATTTCCAGAAATGTTTCTTGGGTATCAGATTAAAGGCTATAGGAAAATGCCATTTCTTTATTGTTTAAAAAAAAAAAATAAAAATGAAGGGACTGAAAGAGTGGCTGTAGTTGTACAATCCTTCCCTAAAGATGCTAAGAATAGAGTTAGCATCTCTATTAAAGCAATTGGTATCTCAGTGCATTTGGAAAACTCACAAGAAAATATCTTAACTGCATCCTTGTTTTCTCATCCATGAATGAACTGATTTCAAAGGCTCTGAGTCTGCAATTACTCCATGAATGGACAATGGAGCAATTTCATCAAAATTCTGAGTCATGATACCAACAGGTTGCAAGATTTATTCTTATTTCAAGCAGGCTCTCAGAGGAACAGATTTCCATTTGCCTGAATTATAACATTTACAGTTCCAGAGAGAATAAACACCTCTTTGGGATGTGTTGACATCACTGCAAATACAAGCACATAGTGCAAAATTACCTCATGAGTTCCATCTCTTTTTTAGTCACACTGACATAAACTACTGCCTGATTACTGAACCCAGTTTCTTTATATATGCAAAGTCTTTCTGGTTCTCAGAAGTACAACCCTTCTTTTAATAAATGTAATTCATTTGAGCAAGGAACTGCCAATAGTTATTGCGTAAGACACTTTGCGAAATTGGGTAGTGTAAAAGGTAGTGTTTCTTTAGTGTGCATCACTATGGTTTAGCAATAAGGCCATCAGGATGTCTCGGAGAATCACTTAGCGATCATCACATACAAGGAAAAACAGTAACCTGGCATTTTGCCTGGTAAGTAATTATGGCAATTAGTCAGGATAGCTGGTCTAGTACATAGATCATCTGCCTTTACTTTAACCAATGAAGTTTTACTTAAAAATCTTAATTCAATTGTGAGTATTTGGGGGTCAAAATGGTGACTTGTGAGACAACATGAAAGAAAGAAAGGCCTGGTCGGCCAGACCATGGTTCCATTTAGTTCATTATTGTCTCAGAATGACAGGAGGAGGTGCTTTTTAGGGAGGATATGTGAACTTGGCCTTTTTCCATGCTTTGCTCCTCTCATACATCCCCATATCCTACACTGTTAGATTAGGGATGGTGGATAATACATCCCTTTAGTAGCTCTTTATGAAACATAAATCTCTCTAATCCCTTTTTGAACTTTCTGCAGTCTCTGTCTTACAGTTTCCTGTGGCAGTAAACTCCAAGAGTTCTCTGTTTGCTGTGTAAAGAAGTACTTTTCTTCTAGCTGGTAAATCAGTTTAAAGCATCATAAACTTATGTGCTATATATATGGCTTTATATATATTATTCAGTTCTATTCACAACTGTTCTTTGTGACAGACTTCCACTCAACACACATGTTCATATTCATCCAGGAGGACAGTACAGCCATAGTGGAAAAAGCAGACAGAAATGCATATTTTGAGTTGTTCTGTGCTAAAATAAGGAAGTCCTTAAGTGCTTAGGCAGGGAACTTGTGTTTATCCTGGTCACAAGCTGAGAACTCTGCTTCTTAAGTAGAATGGGTAGTGCGGGGTAATCTAGTGGAAGGAAAAGATGCAGCTATAACTTTAATTTGCTGGTTAAAAGGATTCTGGCCTTTCTGAATCAGCATCAGGGCTCTGTCTAATCTCCTTCCTCCACTCATGTTGCAACAGAGGGTTGCCTAAGTGAGCTATGTTGGCTCTTTGCCACTCAATATTTCCCTTCACCAGGGAAACCCCCAACTGGCTTTTAAAGCCAGCTTTATGGCCCCAGGATAGTGCCAAAGGCGGTATGAGGCACCCCACCACCTTCTTCAAGAATTTGGAGGCAAAGGTGGGGGAGGGTGTTACAGGAGACAACCTAAGCAAGCTCACAGAGAGCTATTCCTTACACTTTATTAGCTGATGCCACCAGTTTAAAATACTGATCATCCCTGCTTCTTTATTATTGTTACTTCAGGGCCAGAGTTACAAGAACTGATTCATTGGTTTTGGACAGGCAAATAGGAAGCAGCGTGCAAACTGCCTGGTCTTCAACAACTGGAAAGCGTACAAACGTATAGGAAAAAAAAAACCCCTTCTTAAAGTGCTTTGGCTCTGCCATCCAGAAAGCATACCCCTCCAAGAGGAAGGTCTGTGATTCAGGGGGAAAATCCCATGACAAAGCCTTTAGCCCTAACAATTGCATGTAAGAGAGATTAAGTCATGGGAAACTCTCGTGAATGGGGTTGCAGGAATAAAAAGGAACATGCAGCAACATGAAACATGCCTAGCTTCAGGTTTCACCGCAATCTCGAAATACAGGCTGAGTTTACAGAATTGTTCACTGGGGTACACACATCTTTTTGAGAAAGCAGGGGCCTCATTTCAAGGGACCTGGGGGGGGGCGGGCAGCGACGCGGACACTATGATGCTCAGCTTGGTTTCGCATCTTCAACATTAACCTTTTCTGCTGTGTGTCAACATGAAAAGGAGGGGAAACCCAATATTGCTCCAACGATTGGAAGGACTGCTTCTTCAGGTATTCGGGTGGCTCTCGATCACAGGCTGAGTACACCACGCAGTGTCCAAGTGACCAGGCAGCCTCAATTCAGACTTCAGGAACTCAGGGGGCAAAGCAAGGCAAACAATATGCGAAAGCTTAGTTTGTTGAGTTGGTTTTTTTTGTTTGTTTTGTTTTGTTATTTTAATGCTCAAGCCATTACACGGCTGCTCAGCTGAAATCCTAGTAGCTCTGTAGCAAGTCACCACAGCGAGCTTGGACTCGAGGAGAAGGCACCGCTTTAACTGAGGTTACTATTAGGGCTCAGCGCTAGGGACAGCCCGTGAACTGGGTCAGAGCCTACAGCTGCCCTCACGGCCGGCCGCAAGCAGCAGACAGCTCGGCTGCTCACCAGCCCCGCCAGCAGGGTCTGCGTAAGAGACCCGGGACCCCGGTGGCAGGCCTGCCACAGCCCTTCGGGAAGTGTAGTCCTCCCTCCCCCCGAGGCGGAGACCCATGGCAGCGCCGCTACCCACCTCCCCCCGCGGGGTCCGCTGGGAATTGTAGTTCTTCCCGTCGCACAGCTCAGCAGCAGCGGGCCGGAAAAGACTACACTTCCCAGCATCCCCCGCCCCGCAGCTGTTGCTCCTGCCCGCCCGGCGCCGGGCGGAGCGGCGGCTGTAAACAAACCGGGCGATGGCGGTGGTAGTGGGTTTTGCTGTGGTTCTGTGAGTGCTAGTGTGCGCCGGGGCCGGCGGCTCCGGGGTGCTTCCCGGGCAGGGCTGCGGCGGTACGGGCTCGGGGCTGGCTGCACACATGGATGACAGCAAGGTAAGGAGCTGGCTCGGCAGTGCAGGGAGCTCGTGTGGCCTTCCTGCGCCTGACTCCGGCGGGTTCAAGCTCCAAGCAATGTGCAAATGTGTGATGTGAGCCCCCGCAACAGCGAATAGACAGGGAACTGCGCGTGAGGGGAGTGCTCCCGATAAAGGCTTCTGAAGTAAACTTTGTCTGAAGCCTTCTCTTGAAGGCCTCTGGTTGGTAGAAAGGAGGGGTTGTCCCCTTTGTTCTTGCTTGCTGCCCGCAATGAGGCACAGCGCTTGGATGCTGCTTCTGGCTTTTCCTCAGAGCTCCAGAAATGGGCCAGAAGCTAGTGGTCTGGTGGGGTAGATCACGTCTCTCTAGCACCTGTGTAGGAGCTTTGGCTGCAGCCTTGTGTGCTGGTGCTTTCATTTTTCTTGCATCTGCGCATGAGAACAGCACAGCAGCTTCCCTGAAGGTACAGGTCTTCCGTTTAAGCAGAGTGAAACATCAGAAGATGAACAAGGAATACTTCTTTCACCTGCTTGTTCCAGGGTGCCCCTAGAGCAGGACCCATAGGGCATGTGTGAGGAATGAGAAAATAACTGCTGTGTCCACTCACTGCAACAATCGACAACTGAAGTTACCTGTTGAGTTTGAGATTCCAGATCACTAGAGTGGTTATGGTAGTATCCTGGGGTTTGTGTCGGAGATAGCTAGCTCCTGGGGACCTAAGCTAGGTGAAACCATGCTTGAGGTAAGTCATCTTCTGACTTGGAATAAACTCAGCTTGGCTTGAATGTTAAAAGTGGTCATGTGGTAGTCATGAGCCTGTGGTACCTTATCCATTCTCCAGCTACCTGGTTTTCTTCCCACTTGATTTTTAGTAAAACAAAATTACAATGCTAGTGCTGATCTGCCTTAATTCAAAGGAGGAAAAAATACTTGATGTGGTTTCTTAGGGAGTAAATCTAAGAAACTTAGATGTGGTCAATAATCTGACAGTATAGAAAATCCACAGAATGGACTGTAAGTATTTGAAAAATTCATAATAATTTGCCAATTTAATGTGTATACTATTTTGTTTTATTGAGCCTTTGTCTGAAAGCTGCAAAGGAGGGTGGGAGGAATCAGCATCACTAAAGTCAACCAAATGCAAGAACTGCAGGAAAGTTATGTAATAAGAGCAGTAGTTTAGAAGATCCAGAAGATGTAATTCTGGAGGCATATGCAGCTTGTGAGTGTTAGATGGTTTTTGTTTCTTTTAGTGTTAAGAGCACTTCATTTGTCCTGTATCAGAATTAACTCACTGGTAACAGGAAACTTCCAAATTTTTCATTTATAAAATATTTTTTATCGATTGTTGTGTCTTGTGGAGACATGATAATCTGCTTGCTTGCTTTTTTTTTTTTTCCTCCTGAAACATTTTTGGGCACCTTTACTAAATAAACTACATCTTTTCACCCAGTAAGACAAGTCTTTGTGTGCTTTTTTTTTTTTTTTTTTCCTTAGAAAAATGGATGTCAAATGAAGGGGGAAAGAAAGAAAAGGCAATCAGTGTGGAGTATCTCCTCCTATCTTCAGTCTCAGCTACAGTTTCCTAGTATGATGTTTTGACTTAGAACTTATTGCCCAGATACTTGTGAGGACAGTGGCACTGAAAAGGGTCCAGCCCAGAACCACTGAGTATGGCTGTACCTAAGCAAAGCTTTGAATATCTTTCTTAACTCAGCAAGTTTTTCATTAAGTGATAACCTCAGGGGATACTGGTTCCTCATATCTTCTGTTGAAACTAGCTGATGTTAGTCAGTAAGTGCTCACTGCTCTGAAAGGCTTCACTGTAGCTGTTTTGAAAGGCTGTGGTTCCTTTCAAAACAAGTTCGTAAGGCAGCAGGTTGCACTAAGGGTTTGGTGGCTCCATTCAAGAGATCCCATTTCTCTTGGGAGGCCTCTTCAGGCTGCATATCGCTGTGTCAGGATGAGGCAAGCACTATTTATACTTCATTTTACAGCCAGTGCTGTCTTACAGCTTGACCCAGCTTGTCCTTAATATCTTCTAAAAGTTCACCGAGTCATGTTGTCTTCCTTACTTGAGAGGGTTGGTCTGCCTGTTCAGAGTGTCTTACCTGTGAGCTGAACAAATGTGACTGTAAAGGGAATTTCCCTCTAGAAACTGAGATAACTAGGTTACATTAGTAGTGAAGTAACCATTCTATAGCTGCATCCACTCAAGTTCAGTGTTTTCCTTCATCTAAATGTCATAAAGAATTTAGAATTGGGCTTGCAGGCTGTTACGTTTTCCTAAAGTCTTAGTGCGGTATAATTTAGCCTTACCTGGTTTAAGAGCATTAGAAAAATAGTTCGTTTTAACAGATTTCTCAAAATGGGAAGGAAATAGTAAGAAATAAAGGGAGAGGTAGAATAGCTGAATGTCAGATCTAGAAAACTTCTATGTTTCATTTTTATAGCATGTTCTTAATTATTCACAGAAAAAAAACCCAACCAAACCCAGAATACAACCTTTAATTTCTCTCCTAGAGCTACTCTGAAACTAGGGCTTGTTCAGATACTGGTCTTGCTTCTCATTGCTGTGGTTTGAGCTATTGGTTGTGAAAGGGAAAGAGAGTAGTGATGTAGGTGTTCTTGGCAAATAATCTCTGTTAAAATAACACTTATGTACCTCTGAAGTATTTGAGCACAGGAAAAAAGAGAAATTTTGTCACTCATTTCTACCCATGAGAAATCAATTACTCATATAAGTATTGCCAGTGTACCCTACATCCAACAGCTTCTTTAAATGCTTTGCTAGATCAAAGCAGTTACTTACAGTTGGATACACGAAGGAATGTAAAAAAAGTAGACTTAGGAAGACCTTTTGTTACCCGGTTCTGATGACAATAAAGCTGTCCACTCGTCAGGTTTTTTTAAGAGTAGGTCTCAATCCCTTGCACTTGTTTTAATTCTGCTATATGAACTGAGCCAAAACATGAATGAGCAGGTAGAGTTTTAATAAGTGATTTTTTTTTTTAGAGAAATACCTTATTTATAAATGTCTTTTTTTAATTTATTTTTTTATAAGTAAAAGTGTCACTCAGATTTCAGCCTTTATAGGTGAGGTTATCGTCTTCTTTATGCTAAGTTAAATTCTTCAGACCTTCAGCTAGCAATGCAACCAAGACTCCGTTTAAGATGATTCCTTGAGCTGGATCTCAAGTGCCGGTTAATGGAACACTTAAGAACGTCTTAGTTATCAGAGAATGAACGAAGAGCTGCTGGAAGGTGCTGAACTGATCAATGCTATCAGCATTGCTGATCAGTAGTGCTGAACAGTGCTTCAGAAAGTATTGTTTTAATCTGCCAAATTGTTGCAAACCTGCACATGTCATGGTGAGGTCAGCTTTATCACAATCTTCTGTTGGAGTGGCTTGGTTCCTGTGTGCTTGTGAATACTAGTAGCCATGTTATGTATGTATCTCCTTCCTAAGGAGGACCTCTTCATTGTGCAATCTGGCAGTGCTTCTGTAGAGGTCTGCTGAATCCCTCTAATAAAAAAAATCCAGAAATCTGAGATATTTTTCTTTATTGGGGCAAGTAATTGCAGCTATTTCCAATTCCAGGTCACATGATTTTGTACCTGAACCCTGATGCCAAGCAAGAGTAATGTTATGATCCAAGTACTGTATTAAAAGGGAGGGAGTTACGTTTTACTATTTTCTTAAGTCTGAGTGAACTGAAATAGGAGGTTAGTCAGATTTCTGACAAATGCATGCCATTATGAATATTTCTATGGCATGTTTTATGATTAATGTTGTTCTGGGTCTTGATTGCACGTGGCTCCCTGAAAAGAACCCCAGATCCTGACTTCTGAATGCTAATAGATCACTCTAGAGGAATGCAAAGGGAATAAAAAAATGTTTGCTTGCTTGTTTTTTCTTGGTTTGTTGCCACGTTCAAGCTAGCGCTTCTTTGTCTTCTTTCTGTCAC